GTTCCGACGTAGTAAAGTTCAGGGAGCTAAAGCTCTTCCCAGTTCAACTCGAAGTAATCCTTGGATTTTTTTTTTTTTTTTTCTTTTCCTTCTGGCAGTGAAAACAGCCTGAATTCTAGTATAAATACTATTGTTTTCCCAGACTTGCTTATTGACACTGGGCTGTTTTGGAGAAGTTGGAAATAATTTCTTAAGATGAAGGTAGTGAGTGTAACATCTCAAAAGCATTTCAGGTGCTGTTTTGGGTTTTCAATCATTAAAGCTATTTATTGACCAGGCATGGTGGCTTATGCCTGTAATCCCAGCATTTTGGCATGCCAAGGGATGATTATTTGAACCCAGGAGTTCCCAGCTTTAGTGAGCTATGATTGCACCACTGCACTCCAGCATGGGTGACAAAGCAAGACTTGTCTCTAAAAAAGAAAATTAGGCCAGGCGCCGTGGCTCATGCCTGTAATCCCAGCACTTTGGGTGGCCAAAACGGGTGGATCACAAGGTCAGGAGTTCGAGACCAGCCTGACCAACCTGGTGAAACCCCATCTCTATTAAAAATATAAAAATTAACTGGGTGTAGTGGTGGGTGCCTCCCAGCTACTCAGGAGGCTGAGGCAGGAGAATTGCTTGAACCTGGGAGGTGGAGATTGCAGTGAGCTGAGATCATGCCACTGCACTTCAGCCTGGGTGACAGAGCAAGACTGTCTCAGAAAAAGAAAAAAAAAATGGAGTTAGAACAAATGTTAGTTTCACAACTGATTTTATGAAGATGCTTTTCATTTTTTGGTCTTGTATCTGTGCCGCTTGTGGATCTTTGTATTTTAGATAGTGGAAGCTCTAAACTCAACCTAGCATTTTGTAAAAAGCTTCTGTGATGACATTCAGGCCTTTTTTAACCCACTTATGCCGGAGGTTGCCAATTTTTGTGCGGGTGTGTGTGTGAGAAAAATCAGACCTTGGCGATGACCTTGAGCAGTAGAATATAAATAACTCCCACAAGCTTAGCGTTCCAATAATGGAATGCTAGGCACAAATGGGTTAATTCCTCTGGTTACAGTGCTGTGGATCCATAACTCCCTAGCGGTATACTCTTAACTAAGCAGAATGCAAGCAGGGCCTTCCCTGGGTACTAATGGTGGCACCAGCAGAAAGAGGGATGGTGACACCAGTTTTTGGGGAGTCTTTGAGGTTGGAATTTCAAAGTAATACAAGTGAGATTAGGAATGATTTCAGAGTTAAGGGATGGTTATAATGCCCAGAGAAATAAGTACTAGTCTAATGGTGAACTGGTGAACACGGTGCTCTTACAGGCAAATGCTAATTAGAACAGAACAGCCTGCAAATTTCCAGCACATCTGTCCCCTGTGTGCACCTCCATGGAGACTGTGATGGGGACTGAGCAAGTATCCACCCACTTGGAGCCTGCAGTGGGGCAGGAGGAAGGAGGAGCTTGGGAATCCTCTGTGTGGGCCAAACCACGACACAGGCAGCTTCTCCATTTGTATTTATGCTGCTTGTTGGTCTTTGTATTTTAAATAGTTGAAAACTATCTAAATATGTCTCTGAGAAATGAGGTTTTTTTTTTTTTTCTGAGACGGAGTCCCACTCTGTCACCAGGCTGGAGTGCAGTGGCACGATCTCGCACACTGCAACCTCTGCCTCCCGGGTTCAAGTGATTCTGCTGCCTCAGCCTCCCGAGTTGCTGGGAATACAGGTGTGCACCACCACACCCAGCTAATTTTTTTGTATTTTTAGTAGAGACGGGGTATCACCATGTTGGCCAGGATGGTCTCAATTTCGACCTTTTGATTTGTCTGCCTTGGCCTCCCAAAGTGTTGGGATTATAGGCGTGAGCTATCGTGCCTGGCCAATGAGGTGTTTTTTAATAACGCCAATTCTACATTTCTTGTTCAGCTGCCTGACATGAGGGCCAAGACCAAGCCTCATGTGGTGTTTTCTTTCTTTGGTTGTTTTGTATTTTGAGCCAGAGTCTTAGTCTGTCACCAGGTTAGAGTGCAATGGTATGATCTTGGCTCACTGCAACCTCTGTCTCCTTGGTTCAAGCCATTCTTCTGCCTCAGCCTCCCGAATAGCTGGGCTTACAAGTATACACCACCAAGTGCAGCTAATTTCTGTATTTTCAGTAGAGACAGGGTTTTACCACGTTGGCCAGCCTGGTCTCGAACTCCTGACCTCAAGTGGTTTGTCCACCTCGGTCTCCCAAAGTGCTGGTATCTTTCTTAGGTTTTTAAAGATCATTTCAAAAATATAAAAATATAATAGGACACTAAGCCCCCTCAACCCCTAAGCCAGATTCAGTAACTATCAACTCATGACCACTCTTGATTTTTATGAAGCCTTGCTCACTGCCCCCTTTGAAGATGTGTGTGCGTGCGTGTGTGTGTTTTGAGATGCAGTCTTGCTCTTGCCTAGGCTGGAGTGCAGTGATCTTGGTTCATTGCATCCTCTGCCTCCTGGGTTCAAGTGATTCTCCTGCCTCAGCCTCCTGAGTAGCTGTGATTACAGGCATCTGCCACCATGCCCTGGTAATTTTTGTATTTTTAGTAGGGATGGGGTTTCACCATGTTGGCCAGGCTGGTCTCAAACTCCTGACTTCAAGTGATCCACCTGCCTTGGCCTCCCAAAGTGCTGAGATTACAGGTGTGAGCCACCGTGCCCAGCTGCGTGTGTACTTTTTAATTGAAGAAACCATGTTGCTTGTCCTGCACGGATTCCCAGGATGTAGACTGGGCTCATTGCAAATCCCTCCTACCCCTCTCGTGACCCTCTGCATCCCTGCATGCTGTATCATTTAACATGTCCATCTGGTACCAGAAGTTAGTAGTTAGATCTAGAAGCTTGGTGTGATTCAGGTTTTATTTTCCCCCCTCCTCCTTTTGGCAGGAGTACTTTGTAGGTGGGGGTGTGTACCACCTGCCACTTCGAGATACCTCGCTTAGGTCTGGTTGTGTGTGTGTGATATTTGGAGCCATTCATGATCATTGTTTAGATCCATTAATTTGTTAGGAGTTTGCAAAGTGGTGATATTCCAGTTCCTTATTTATTAGCTGAAATATTTGCATAAAGAGAAACTTTGCCACTGTCAACTCTTTGATACCCTGAGTTACAGTATACTTATAGGAAAGGCAGGAGAAATGATTAATTTTGTTACTATTTTTTTAAAACCGATTTTCAAAATAATGAGTGATTCTCCAGCATTTTCCTCTAGAGTTAATGGATTTTTTTGTTATTGCTTGTTCTGTTTATTTTGATGAGTATGATTGTGAGCTCATGGATTTAAACAGTTCTGCTCTTCATTACAGTTATTATCCCTGTGCCACACTTTGGCTGTCTTTGGCTAGTGGGAGTCTGTTGAAGTCGGGCTCTGAGTCTTTTGCATGTGTACTGTTAGTCTTTGCTAGCTTCCTCATTTTCAGGTAAGACAAGATGTTTTAGTCTCCCTGAACAGTTTTTGCCCCAGCTGTGGAATCAACCATGTTTCCTAGCAGCTTTAACTCCTTTTATGTTTATATTTAATATGTTTATATTTAAAGATAAACACATCATGCATTTATGTGGGTATTTCCAAATCTGATTCAGGACACTGGTGTTTTTACTTCATCTCTTTGCTCTTACATCTGTATCTCTTTTCTCCCTTCATCTGTTCTTTTTTCTTGCTAGCCTAATCCCAGCTCTTGATATCAACATACTTATTCATTTATTTTATCTTACAGTATCAATACTATTACCCATAATATGATTTCTGAAAATAAATTAAATTTTTTTCTTTGCAATTTACGTTGTCCTTAGGGTAGATAATAATGTGCAGGGACTATCTTTTCAAACTATTTTTTTTTTTAAAGTCAAACAAACTAGTTAAACTATTTTGTTTAAAGTTAAAAAAAAATTATGATTCATCCTTTTGTTTGGTAGGTACAGTCTTTACTGAACATTGAATTTTCCCTGCTCTGCAGAGTGGAAGGTCTGAGTTTCATCACTGAAATCTCAGCATCCTTTTTTCCTAAGGGGTTTTCTTGGAAGCCTGACATTTGGCAGCAGCTCTGATTAAAAGCCCTTTGTGGTCTTAAAAGTTCTTCAGAGTCAGGCGCAGTGGCTTATACCTGTAATCCCAGCACTTTGAGAGGCCAAGGCAGGCAGATCATGAGGTCAGGAGTTGGAGACCAGCCTGGCCAATATGGTGAAACCCTGTCTCTACTAAAAAAATACAAAAATTAGTTGGGCGGGGTGACACACACCTGTAGTCCCAGCTACTCAGGAGGCTGAGGCAGGAGAATGGCGTGAGCCTGGGAGGCGGAGGTTGCGGTAAGCTGAGACTGCACCACTGCACTCTAGCCTGGACAATAAGAGTGAAACTCTGTCTCAAAAAAGTTCTTCACAGCGGTTCTCCAGCCCCTCCAGACTCAGACACAGAGACAGTACAGGACAGGAGAATAGTGATGTGTACAGGCATTGGTTTCTACACTCCAGAATCTTCCAGGGATGGGGAACTCCGGCCCTACCCTGATCAATTGGCCCTAAATCTGGGGGATGGGTCCTGGGCATCAGTGAGCTTGTAAGTCTCCCGGGTAATTCTCACATGCAGTCAGGACTGCACTGATTCAGGGAGGACTTCAGGTATATCTGGAGTCTTAATGGTTATTATTTCCCCAGATTCACTTTTTTTCTTCCTTATCTCTGGATCTTTCTCAACCCTACTTTTGTCCCCTGTTCCCCCATTTCTTTCTTTCTTTCTTTTTTTTTTTTCTGAGATGGAGTCTTGTGCTGTTCCCCAGGCTGGAGTGCAATGGCGCCATCTCAGCTCACTGCAACCTCACCTCCTGGATTCAAGTGATTCTCCTGCCTCAGCCTCCCCAGTAGCTGGGATTACAGGTGCGAGCCACCATGCCCAGCTAGTTTTTGTATTTTTAGTAGAGATGGGTTTTCACCATGTTGGCCAGGCTGGTCTTGAACTCCTGACCTCAAGTGGTCTGCCCACCTTGGCCTCCCAAAGTGCTGGGATTACAGGCGGGAGCCACTGCGCCCGGCTGTATTTCCCCATTTCTAAAACAAACTGCTTACTCATTTTTCCACAGCTCACTCTTTTCTGCTTGTATTTTTCACTCAAACATGTTCTTCTTTGGTAGCTTGTTTCCATTTCTTGTGTTTTCTTTCCTTCCCATGCAATCGGGTGCGGTGCAGTTGGGCAAGGAATATCTGAAGTGCGTAGGGGAGCAGGAGCATGGAGGCCGCGTGCCCACTGGGCCTAGACATGTAATGTGTCACTGCAAGAAAGCAAGGGATGGGGCTCAAATGTCAGGAGGCTGAGTACCAAATACTCCATTGAGAAGTATCTGCCTTCAAGTACTCTGGGACTCCGGTAGAACCTGAAGTATGGAACACTGAAGTATCCTACTGAACTCTTAAAAATCTCCGTGGTTTCACAGTTGAGGAGAATTCCTGTGAAGGAGTAAGGACTGTATTCTTAGCTTGTTTGTGAAAAGACTCTTCACCAGGTCGTAGATTGGTTGGTCTCTAAGATGGAGAATTTATGTGAGTTACTTTTGACCTTGGTACTGATATTTAGAAAGTTTAAATTTGGTTAGTTATAATTTTGATACTGAGCATTTTCCCAGTTGTTTTGTTTCTTATTAATTGAGGGTTAAGATATGGGATGGAGAGGTCCGTGGAAAGGCATGGACCAAAAACCAGCATTACTCACCAGTGAGCCTGTTGACTTGACTGGATTATTAAAGGCTGTCTCTCGGCAGGGAAATCTGGACAATTAGGTGGTCGTGACCTGCCTGCCTTTTGCATTCTCTTTTGCTGGGTTTATTGCATCTGTTATTTCCTCTGGGGGCCATCCCTCTTGCCGTTTGAATTGTACTCACCCTAGGCTGAAATGGAGAAGTGTGTTAACGGGTAACAGTGACTCCCAGGGACCGTGAGAAGTTTCAGGAACATTTAGAAACGCAAAGAGTTAGCACTGAGCTTCTGGCTGATAGCCCAGGTGTGTCTGCTGCGGCCCTGGTTCCCCTTGGCACTCCTGAACTGGGGCTGCCTATGTGTACAGTTTAGTCTTCTTGCTAAGTTTTATTTTTATTATACTTTAAGTTCTAGGGTACATGTGCACAACATGCAGGTTTGTTACATATGTATACATGCGCCTTCTTGCTTCTTGATGTAAACTTCCAGATTTTCATCTCAGTAAACTCTACACAGTCCGTGTTATGACCCATTGTACTGGGGACTCTTCCATAAACTCTTAGTGCCTCTGGAATGATTAGTCATGCTGGAAACGTAACAGTGAGCCTCTGCATTCTTGATATCTGATCATCTTATTCATAATTCTTTAACTAAATGGTATTTTCTGATTTCTGTATCATAGGGGAAAACTTCCATGTCCTGGAAGGCAACGTGGTTGGTGAAGTCTGTGAGTTTGTGTGTGTGTGTGTGTGTGTGTGTGTGTGTGTGTGTGTGTGTGCATGACAGGACAGGAGTGTTGGGATTTAATATCATGACCCATTTGAGGAATGGGAATGTCTTCTGTAAATATCCTGATCCAGCGCTAGTTGTTTGGGATGAAAGTGTGTGTTAATTTTGTTTTTGTTTTTTATCGATTCTTCTTCCCTCACTTAAGATAGACAAAAAACAGCTATCAATAGCAAATCTGTCAGGTGTTTATTATGCCTTTGTTAAGAAGGAGAGATTGCTTAAAAGGAAAAGCTGTTTTTCAAAGTCAAGGTCTTAAAAGATTTTCAACCTTTTTGCATTTTGTCTTCTGAGAAGTCAGGAGGAAATGATGTCGAGGGCCTACATGTTTACCTTTGGTGACCTGGATTTGCAATGAGTGTTTGGTTCTCTTTGATGGGGAAAAAGGGTCCCTTACAAGGGTTTCTAGAGGGAGGAAGTAGGTTATGGGGTGAAGTGCTCATTTGGCAGGGAGAGTAAAGGAAAGCTCCTTTGCTTACCTCAAACCATGGCTCAAGCTGTGTTCTGCTGTTTCTTTGCCTTAGTCTTGGAGGTTAACATTGCATTCCCTATGTCTTGTTCAGAAGGTAAGCCCTCATGCCTCCCAGCTCATTGGTGTGGGGTTTTAATTTTGCCTTGGGGAATAGATGATTATTAATATTGCTTCAAAACCAGGACCTTCAAAGTATGACTGATTAGAGAACTAATGATGACATTACCTTTGAGGTCAATTTCTGGTGTGTTTAATTTTTGACTCTGCACTACCTGAGCCAATGTGGCAGTTCTTCTGGGCAAATCCAGGCTTGTAGGGGGCAGAAACATATTAAGTAATGTCCTGTGGGTCCAAGAGCCTGGAATCCTCCCAAGCCTGGCTCTTTTCCCCACTCCAACTGAAGCTGGACTTGGTTGTCTTAGATCTATTGACACGTGGAGTTTGGATTGGGAAAAATTGGAGAGTTTGATTTTCTGATCTGGGTTTGTGCCATTATCTCCGTTCATAAAGGCTCTTAACAGGGAAGAAGGTGGCGAGAGTGGTGGCCTCCCATACACGAGCCTTCTCCACTTTCCTGTGGGCTGGGATGTCAAGAGTTAGAGGAAGTGGGGTGAGAGCTGGGGTGTCCATTTGTAAGCAAATTCCTTATTTCTCTTTGGTCACTTGTTTTCTTATTCACCTTAGGCCAAGACTTAATTTGGTAGTTTGCCAAGTGTGCTTTAAAGCACTGTTTGTCATACTGAGCACCCACAGTGTACCAAGCACAATGTACTAAAACTTTATTGACTTTGAAATTAGAATTTTGACTTCAGGTTAAAACTCCTATCAGCTTGTCTTAAAGAAGAAAACAGTTCTGCTTTTCTTTTAGATTAGTGATGAATGTTGCACTTTGAAAATATAAAAGTAAAACTTGTGTTAAGAAAAAATGAGCCTGGGTGCGGTGGCTCATATCTGTAATCCCAGCACTTTGGGAGGCTGAGGTGGGAGGATCACTTGAGCCTAGGAGTTTAAGACCAGCCTGGGCAACCTAGTGAGACCCTGTCTTGACAGAAAAAAAAAAAAAGAAAAAAGCTCTACATGATGGTGTGTACTTGTAGTCCTAGCTACTTGGGAGGCTGAGGCGTGAGGATTGCTTGAGTCAGGGATTTCGAGGCTGCTGTGAGCTAGGATTGTGCCACTTTACTCCAGGATGGGTGACAGAGTGAGCAACATCTGAAAAAAGAAAAAGAAGAAATGGTGTGGTCTTTATGTCTAATTAAAGGCTTTTTTTTTTCTTCTTTTAGGAAAGTGCCAAAGTAATCCAGCCCATATTTTTGGGAAAAATTATTAATTATTTTGAAAATTACGATCCCATGGATTCCGTGGCTTTGAACACAGCGTACGCCTATGCCACGGTGCTGACTGTTTGCACGCTCATTTTGGCCATACTGCATCACTTATATTTTTATCACGTTCAGTGTGCTGGGATGAGGTTACGAATAGCCATGTGTCATATGATTTATCGGAAGGTAAGTGACATTCAGCATTAAACATGTACCTCACCTGAAGCATCAGAAGCATTCTGGGAAAGTTTTATGTAAATTAAATACTGCATAAATAGCCACTGCTCTCCAGCCTGGGTGACAGAGCAAGACCCTGTCTCTTAAAAAAGAAAACAGAAGAAAACTTCCGTAAATAGAATCATTTACACCTTACTAGAGAAGCTTGCTATTTGCATCAGGCCAATGTTTTTTTTTCTTTATGCAAAATTTTCCAGTGTATAATGAAAGTTTTCTACTGCTGTCAGGGCACGGCTGCCTTTGATAACAGGCTGTTGCAGAATACTAAATTTATAGTGAAATCTAATTAAAAATATCAAATTGGTTTTTAGTGTTTCTTTGCCTCAATCTCATAGTTGTATTTATGGAAATTTTTGTTGTTGTTCATTAAAACCTTCACTTACATCGCAGTTGTATTAAGAAGTGAACTTCAGTGAAATTGGATCTATGAAATTAAATCTAGGAGAAAAGAATATATTTGAGAAAGAGAATTCTTGTATTTTTTAAATGAACCATTTAGTCATATTCCATATAATTTTCTTAACTGAAGAAAAATGTAAATGGAATCCATGTCAGATACAGGCTTTCTTTATATTCTAAATCTAGTTGTGGTTGTTTTTAATGGTATTTAAGAAAATAGTTGGATGTTTGGGATAACACTTTGAATTTTTGATTGTTTTCATAATTTTAGAGAGAACTTACAGTGTTTCTATTTTCTGGTTGGTTTTCATTCAAAGTAAGGTTTTACATTAAACAGTTGTCCCTTGGTATTCGTGGGGGATTGGTTATAGGACCTCTTGAGGATACAAAAAATCGGAGGATGCTTAAGTGGCATAGTATCTGCATATAACTTATTCATACCCTCCCATATATGGCATTTTATTTATTTATTTTAAATAATTTCATCTTTTTTAGATTCAGGGGTAGAGGTGCACGTTTTTTCCATGGGTGTGTGGTGTGATGCTGAGGTTTGGGGTATGGATGCTCCCATCTCCCAGGCCGTGAGTGTGGTACCTGATAGGTAGTTTTTCAGCCCTTGCCGTATTCCCTCTCTCCCCACTCTTGTAGTCTGCAGTGTCTTTGTTCTCATCTTTATGTCCATCTGTACCCAGTGATTACCTCCCACTTATAAGTGAGAACACCTGGTATTTGGTTTTCTGTTCCGGTGTTAATTTGCTTAGGATAATGGTCTCCAGCTGCATCCATGTGGCTGCAAAGGACAATATTTTTTTTTTTATGGGTGCACTCCCATGTACTTTAAATCATCTTGGCTTACTTATAATACCTAATACAATGTAAATATACATTATATAATGTACAATATACAATGTACATTGGGTACAGTTATATAATGTACATTGTAAATTGTACATTATATAATGTACATTGTAAATACATTATATAATTGTACATTGTATAATGTAAATATACATTATATTAGGTATTATAAATGTTTAGGGAATAGTGACAAGAAAAAAATCTATGCGTGTTCAGTACAGACACAATCACCTGTTTTGTTTCCCCCAAATATTTTCAACCCCAGGTTGGTTGAGTCCAGGGATGCAGAACCCACACATACAGAAGGCTGACTGTATTTTCCTTCCCATCAGGGCAGTAATAATGATAAGACCTGATTTGATATTTTCTTATTTTATTTGTGCTTTTGTATTGAGATATGCCATAAATTATACCATAGTTTGCCGTGGTCTTGCCTGTTACAGAAGGAGTAGGATTTCTGGTTGCTTTACAAAGAAGTTGCCATAGAGATGCTAGTGTCAAGAGCTAAAGAACTTGTCATTAAATCAGTCCTGGATATCTCTTTGTCCTGGGCCATTTTTTTAAGCCATTTAAATTTTTTTTTAAACGAAGTCTTGCTGTCACCCAGGCTGGAGTGCAGTGGTGCAACCTCTGCTCACTGCAACCTCCACCTCCCGGGTTCAAGCAATTCTCCTGCCTCAGCCTGCCGAGTAGCTGGGATTACAGACATGTGCCACCACGCCCAGGTAATTTTTGTGTTTTTAGTAGAGACGGGGTTTCACCATGTTGGCCAGGCTGGTCTTGAACTCCTGACCTCGTGATCTGCCCATCTTGGCCTCCCAAAGTGCAGGGATTACAGGTGTGAGCCACCGCACCCAGCTCATTTAAATTTAAAGTATTCTTCTTTAACCTTGTTGTCACTTATCCAGAGCTTCCATTAGGTGTCCTCCCCAAGTCTTCCTTTGACATGGGGGAATCGATCTTGTAATTCTGTGAATCCTGGAGGCCTCGTGTCTTAGTGTCTTTGGTACAGTGTAACAGGTTTGCCCGAATTCCTCATGTGTGACGTGAAAATGATAACAAGGCTTGTACACACTAGTCAAGGGGTCTTCCCCACCACCACCACCACCACCATCACCAGCATCATCAGCAGTACCATCATGTGTGTTATTCTCCTGTACTCTCTTCTGCCATTTAGGAGAAGAATACTGAAGTTTTTCTATAAATTAGCTAGTTTTTTGTCTTTCAAGATCATACGTCTAATAAATTCATAAAAATTTTCACTAACACTCCACTTGCAAACTTTAAAAACACCCTACATGAAGTCCGGTTTGAGGTAGTGGTTCAGTAAAACACAGCTCTTCGTACAAGTGAGATATTGTTCACCTGCTTTTCTTGCTCTTTTCCACTAATGCTTTGGAAAATAGCCTTTGGGAAATCTGATCTAACTCAGCAAATTTGCTTACCTGCATGTAAACATCTCCCAAAGATATTAATTTACCAACTTGATTATCTTAGAAGTATTGTCTCTTTACAAAGTCAAAAATTGCTTGGGTTAAACCATAAGACTTAACCTGAAATCCCAGAAATGTGGGAAAGATGAATATCCTCGTGTCCTGTCTTGTATGTGGAAACATGCCCAGGTGAAGAAATAAGACACTTCCTCCTTACCTGTGGGCTGCTTCCTTGGGGCAGAGGCTGGCTCTGCAGCAGGGCTCTGAAAGGTCCCTCTGCAACGCTGGCAGTTTCCACTGAGGCCCCACATCCTAATTCCCGGTCTGGCAGAAATCAGGTTGGGTGTTGCAAATGGAATGACTGCCGAGCCCATTGTCGTCATTTAGTGTTGAATGATCTTGTGGGATGTCTGCAAATGACTTGTCATTTATTTACTTTTTCACAGCTTTGGTAAAATTACTTTAGGCTTTTTCATCATCATTTTTTTTTCTTATTGTAGTAAAATATACATAATACAAAATTTACCATTTTAACTCTTTTTAAGTGTACAATAGTTCCTTGGCATTAAGTACATTCACATCACTGTGCCTCCCAACCCCACCATCCATCGACAGAATTTGTTCATCTTCCTGGGTGGAAACTCTGTACCCATTAGGCACTGATTCTCCACTCTCCCTTCTCCACAGTTATCACCCTGCTGCTTTCCAGCTCTATGAATTTGATAACTCTGGGTATTTCATAGAAGTAGAATCCTACGGTATTTGTTATTTTGTGCCTGGCTCACTTCATGGAGCATAAGGTCTTCAGGGATTATCTATGCTGTATTGTATGCCAGGATTTAATTCCTTTGAAAGGGTGAATAATATTCCATTACTTGGATATGCCACATTTTGTTTGTCCATTCATCTGCCACTGGACATTTGGGTTATTTCTGCCTTGTAGCTATTGTGAACATTGCCGCTATGAACACGAATGTACAATTATCTCTTTGAGTCCTTGCTTTTAGTTTTCATTTATTTTTATTTTTGAGACGGAGTCTTACTCTGTCTCCCAGGCAGGAGTGCAGTGGCATGATCTTGGCTCACTACAACCTCTGCCTCCTGGGTTCAAGCGATTCTTCTGCCTCAGCCTCCTAAGTAGCTGGGACTACAGGCGCCTGCCACCATGCCAGGCTAATTTTTGTATTTTTAATAGAGACAGGGTTTCACCATGTTGGCCAGACTGATCTCAAACTACTGACCTCGCGATCTGCTCACCTTGGCCTCCCAAAGTGCTGGGATTACAGGCGTGAGCCATTGTACCTGGCCGAGTCCTTGCTTTTAATACACTGGAGTATTTATTTAGAGGTGGGGTTGCTGGGTTATGTGGTAATTCTATGTTTAATTTTTTGAGGAACCACCATTTTTTTTTTCACAGTGTTTTTCACAGTGTTTTTCACTGTTTTTCACAGTGGCCACACCATTTTACATTCCCACTTACTCTTTAATAATTTGTCTGTTATGTTTTTATGAATCATGACTAGCTTTAATTTGGATTGAGGGCTCCAAGGGTGGTCTGTTGAAATGGTTCATGGTGGTTTGTTCAAGTTCCTTGTGTTATTTCTTATAACTTTTACCAAATAAAGAGACTGTGCAGCACAGGCTGTATTTTAAGTGAGGTCAACAGATTTGCATTAAGAATATGGGCTCCTCATGGCAATAGTACTTGCTCATGTTAGAATGTCATCAGTCACAAGTCATATTCCCAGCATGGGTTTGTATTGTGGGGACAGTGCCTTATCTCCTGTTTTTACTTTTATCTGGGACGCAGAAGCAGGGGATGTGTCCATCTTCAAGTCTCAAGGGGTTACTTCTGTAGCTTAGAGCACATGAGTTGGGGCCATGTTGGAAGAAGACAGTCCCTTAGTCACACTGAGCCTGGATTAAGGATAGCTGAAGATCTCTAGCCCCAGCCACCAGTGAGACTGGATTTCCTATTTGCCCATGCCTACCTTGGCTTAGGACCAGGATAGATCTGAGCCTGAATGCTAAACGTCTGTAGACCTATGATGGAATGGAGGACAGTTTCATTAATCAGGATGGGCTTGTCATCCCAGCTTTCATATTATAAAATACGTTAGGCATAGATATTCTTCCTGAAGATCTGTGGCCTAATTAGCTCGAGATTTCCTGACTTCGTGTCTCATTTGAAGAACCGTGGTGGCTCCTGCAGGGGGCTGGCTTCTGAGTTGTGGATTTTGATGTTGAGTTGGCTTGTCC